TGATGGCTTCTGCCAAAAAATTCAAACTCAGGCCCCGCCCAATGCAATTGAACGAGAAGTACCAGTCTGCCCATGGTAAAAATGCTCGCCCCATTTTTGCACTCCGTAGGCAGACTGGTTACGAATCTACAATCACACGGCCCAGAGGGTCCAGGTCTGCCCGGAGGGCATTAGTATAGTGACTCCGGAGGAGGTCATAAATTGGGAGTGCTTTTCAAGTCACTCCATTTGAGTGTTCCTCAGGCACTCCCACCTCATATGAGTGTTTTTCAAAATCCATGCCTCCCACCTCCTTTGACCATCCGGGCGCCTTCTTGGATCCATATGGCCGTGTTGCCGAGGCATGCCGCATCAAATCAACCTCAAACAAGATCAAATACAAATCAAACACGAACACTCCTCTTTCCTCCGCCAGTCCGCTTTGCCTTCTTATACCTCTGTACACTGACTCGCCATTCGACACTCTGGCTTTTATTCCATTCATCACCTCACGAGTCAATAGACAGCTTGCGCACCAGCCATTGGAGCCAATCAGTGGCTTATTTGGTGTGCGCAATTAATGGCTCCACCCTCCCCAAAATGCCAGGCCAATGGCCCCACTGGCCATTGACATCATATTTTGGCGGGTGGAGCCATTCGTGCGCATACGCCAAGTAAGCCATGTTATGGCTCCAATGGCTTTTGCACAAGCTGTCTAATAATTCGGAAAGTACTCAGAAGGTGACTCATACACTTGGGAGGAATTATAAATGGGCATAGAAGGAACAAGCAGTATTTTGGAATAGTTGACGAAGGATTTTTCATTTGTGATGGAGGGCTGGGGTGATCACGTGCTAGTATTTGTTGATGTTTAGTCCAACTGCCCTTTGCTCTCGATCACCATATTCGCTGCCCGTCCCTCTTCCCGCGCGAACGACAGGCCCAACTCGCGCCCAATGATGCATGTTTGCCTTCTCCACATCCCTATCGCCTTTTTGAGACTGTTTTGAGATGCTGACGCCCACATTTCACAATAGGGGCTCCTCTCCAACATCGACGCGTAAGTCTCTTCCTGCTCACTTTAGGCTCTCAGCGTGCTTACAGATGACTCCCGGATAGACCATTCTACGTCCTAAGATGGCTGAGAAAGCCACCAATTATGTACAGCTCGCTTCTTGATCTCGAGTCTCGTCGGCCAACCGTCCTCCTGCATGTACATGTCTTGCATAAGGTTTTTGGCCCCGAATGGTACGAGAGTCACACTCCATCTACATTTTCCTGTTTAATCTCTTTTCAGTCATACACATCAATGTGCTGCTGCGAATTCCGGTTGAGCTGCGAGTACCGTTCGTTAGGTGATTTTCTCCACATGTATTCCATCTCCGCGCTTTCCCTCTCCATCCGCTCTTTCCATACCCCAAGGCCAGGTTGGCTCCGTAAGAGCACTGCACATGCACTCCGCAAAACCGGCGTCGGGTGCCGCCTTCGCACCCTTCCCCCTTTCTTCCCTCCCTCCCGTCTTCTCCCCCACTCGGCTCCCTCATGATGCCATCCTGTGCACACGCCCCACTCTTCCCCCCCGCCATTACTCTTTTGCTCGAGCGAAACCTTCCGCCACGTGCATTGACTGGGTGCGGCACGCGGCTCGGCTCGCTTGTCTCGGGGATACCAACAGTTTACCGAGCGCCGGCATCTTCCAGCGCCTCTCTTTCTTCCCTCCATGTATCTGTGAGCGCTGAATACTACACGCAGTGATCCACGCTGGATGGTGCCACCCCTCGCCAGCTAGGAATATTTCTGCCGCTAATTTGGTTCAGCGGCTAAAGTGCGGCGGAGTTAGTCTCCCAGAGGCAGAGTAGATAATTTCCCTTGAACCCTCGTGCCTCGGGATATTCCTTATCTGACAGGTATCTTGAGCTTGCGAAAGTTGACCCTGTCTACTCTGCCTCAGGGAGACCATGCGGAGCTCCGCACAGCCTTTTGTGCTGTGTCTTCCTCGCCCTTGCCCAACACGTCGACGACATCCACGCCCTCACTCAGATGTCTTTTATCTCAAATTCAGAGAACTTTACGCTCGGAGAGGGCGTCTACAACAATATCCACAACAACTTCATCCATAACACCTTCTGCGGGAAAAGGCGCCATCAAGAAGCAGTTGAAGGTGAGGTACATTCTGTTCCTCAGCAGAGAAGTCATCTCAGTCGTCCTGCCCTTCAAACTCACCACATTCGTTGTCATTAACAGAACCAACTCATGAACGTCGTCGCCGGGGAGATGAGAATGGAATCAAGGTCTGTACCGCGTACAGCGCAGGGGACTCACGGCTTGATGTTCTAGCAGGTCGTTCTCGCCAAGGACCTCAAACTCACTCTTCAGATTGGGAGCGGCGCAGGATACCTCCTCCACACTGGGAAAGCCAAGGGTCGAACAGTTGTCGTCAAAGTCTTCGATGGGGGCCCGACTGTTCGAGAGGTATTCTAAGATCATCGGCACGTTATCTATCTGACGGATTGAAGCAACTGGAATCGACGGTGGTGCTATCAAAAGGGCTTATGCGCGTACAACTCTGTTACTCTGTAGCGTCTCCATGATGTCTTTTAGGCATCCAAACGTGCTGCGGGTCGAAGGTGTCTCTTCCTCTGCGTCTTTGCATCACTTTATCGTATATGAAAACGGTCGGCTACGCACACATTCCACGTGGGGATCGATGCTGACAACATATCCCAGCTCATTGGAAGACTGCGGAGGGCCCACTCGCGGCTGCGCTCAACGCCGATCTTACACGGAGCATCACTCTGGGGTTCAAAATGGTGCGTCACCGTAAGATTGTCAATGACATGGACTTACCCAAGCTACTACTACAGGTAGCGGGCCTCTCCGTAAGTCTCAAAACATGTCGCTTCATAGCATATTCAATTCTCTGCATCGCCTTCCAGTCCGGCATGAATTATCTTAGTGTTCAAGGGATATCATTGGCGTCTCTGGGAGTCGAGGTAGGCGTTTTCTATCCCCTTTCGACCGCAATGGTCTGACTGCGGTAGTTTTTCTCGATCTCAACGACCGGTTCTTGATCAGCGCTAACCCCACAACATCAGTGGGCAGTGTTACCAAAGACCGACACCAGGAAGATAACACCGCCATCTCTTGGGATGCCTTCAATGCGCTGTGTCAAAAGGTACGCGTTAATATTGACCCAAGGCGATTGGACGTCTAAATGTTAAACGGTTTGCATGAAGGTCTTGAGGTCCGCCAATCGCGTGTTGCACCGTGAGTTAATATTGCTGCAATTATAATTTTTTGACACATCTGGCGGAGACGAGGATATCGAGAGGAATCCTGTGGTCGACCTTGAGCCCCGACCGACTGTCCCTCACAAGGCCTCACTTCTGGCCTCGTATTCGCTTTCGGAATCACTGCCGGCGCCACAGATCCCAAACGAGGAGCCTCCCGTCCAGCCACGACGGGAGTACGTCTGGCGAACGATAGATCGCGGACAGAAATCGTTAGCCAACATCGCCAGTCGAATTTCCCGCGATCTCGACACATCGTCCCTCAGTAAATTGACCTGGTCAGACGTGCGCAGCGTGCACCGCTGTGCCGGATACGTCCGCGAGGAAATAACGCTGGCGACCACAATGGGCGACAGTGCTGTGGTGTCTCGTGATGCACCTAGCCCACTAGAAGTCTGCTCCATTTGCCACGAGGTGGTCGGCGTCCACGAGGTTTTCCGGTGTATCTGCGACGATCCTAGTAAGGATAATTCACCTAGTTGCGACATCACCACTAATGCCGCTCACCACAGGTCCCGGATCGCGGACTACGGTCAAATGTCAGGCATGCAAGTTTTGGAGTCATAGTGCTTGCGTCGGCAATCCGAACGAGTTTACCTGTCAACTCTGCAGCCCCGCGCTGCGCGGCAAGTTCCGGGTCCTGCCGAAGCAAGACCAATGCGACAGCCCCATCGCCATGCATTCCGGCTTTTTACTCGGTACGCGCACGCTCCGCCCTCATCCCCCCGACCCTCACCAGCTTGCAGACCTCTCCCACTCCCGCTGCAACCGCGTTTTCGTCCCGTGGATCTTCCGTGGGAAGCGCAACAGCGAGGACAAACGACTGGCCGTCGGTGCGCTTTCCCCTTCTACCCACCGCGCACCCACGATAATACCTCATCCTCAGTCCGCCGCGGCGCGCAGCTTAGACTGGGACTGTGATGTATCAGCCACCGCTAGTACCCGTCCTCCTTGCACGCCAGGGTTGCAGTTTAGGTCGGGCGCGGGGAGTCGAACCCCGAGCTGCGGCTTAATTATTCCGGAAGAACACTAGATGAAGCCGTCGTGCACTGTGCACCACACCCGATTCATAACTCTGAAATAAAGGTGATGGAGTGGGGTTGATTCTCTGGGCTGTAAGTGTGAACATAGAATGGAAAAAACCCTAACCGCCTTGCTAGGTCGGGTGCGGGGAGTCGAACCCCGGCTGCGGCTTGAATTGACTGTCCACTCACAAAAGACAGAAAGCCACCGTGCGCCGACCATACCCGATAGTTAGCCTCGATAAAACCCCCAATAACCGGGTTCCCTGTGTACTTCAATGCACCTTCAACAACAGATATTCTGGAAAGTTAGTGACCTTTGAGAGATCATCCGAGGTAGAGGCGCTTAAGGACGCACCTGCCGGAGTACAAGGTTTGGTCTAAACCTAGGAACAATAAAATTAAAAAAGCAAAGGCTAATGGAGCATTCAGGCGGGGGTAGAACCCCGGGGTGCGGCTTGCTTCAATTGAAAATAACGCCGCAAATGAAACCGCCGTGCGCCGTGCACTACACCCGATTCATAGCTCTAAAGCTGAGTCTATTGAGTGGGTTGATTTTGATTTTGCAGTTGAAAGGATATTATTATGCAAAGACACGGAAGAATATGTCGAGCGTAAATTTGATTGTCGCCTGGTCGCCTGTGGCTGCTCGATTCAGTTGAGTCTACAGCGGTCCTCGAGACAAAAAAAATCATACGGCTCCAGAGCATTCGGGCGCGGGGAGTCGAACCCCGGTCTGCGGCTTACATGTTTCGTTGAACCCCTAAATGGAGCCGCCGTGCACCGTGCACCACACCCGATGTCTATTCTCGATGCAGGCCGGGACATGTGGGTTCAATTGTGTGTGGTTGAGCACTGGCCGACTGTAAAATGAAAAATTCTGAGACAGATCTGCGTCGGGTGTGGAGAGTCGAGCCCCGGCTTGCGGCTTACATTTCCCCCTCACTGCTCAGTCACAAATGAAGCTGCCGCGTACACAACACCCGATTAATATGTCTGAAGGTGACTCTGCCAGTGGGGTTGATTTCTTTGGGCTATGAACGTGAGTGTGAAAAGATCAAGAACTGAAAAAATGAGGAACACCAAACAGGTCGGGTGCGGGGAGTCGAACCCCGGGCTGCGGTTCAGAGGGAGAAGTAAACCCAAATGAACCCGTTGTGCGCCGTGCACCACACCTGATTCATAACTCTGAAATAAAGATGGTGGGGTGGGGTTCAACTTGAATCCTGCAGAGTTGCGTTTTAATCAACCTAGTTTTGAACGTACGTTGAACCTTGGAGTTCCAAGAATATTGTGTAAAGCTCCATGAAAATTGAACCGGCGAGCTAGGAGTGCGATGAAGGAATTCAGCTGGGGGCAAATTTAACAGACGAAGGCTCCAGGGGAAGGTCGGGTGCGGGGAGTCGAACCCTGATCTGCGGCTTGTATTACATACTCTCAACCGCCGCAAATGGGGCCACTGTGCACCGTGCACCACACCCGATTCATGGCTTTAAAACTGACTCTGTTGAGCTGGTTGATTTTGAAGTCGAAAGGATATCATCATGCGAAGACTGGGAAGAGTATTTCGAGCGTAAATTTGATTATCGCTCTGGCTACCTGCGGTTGCTTGATTCAGTTGAGTCTAAAGCGGTCCTCGAGAAAGAAAAAATCACCCGCCTCCTGAACATTCGGGCGCGGGAGTCGAACCCCGGTCGGCGGCTGAGATTTTAATCTCCCACCACATAACTGAAGCTGCCGTGCACCGTACACCACACCCGATTCATAATCTTGAAGCTCAGTCCGTTGAGCGACTGAGGTTTAGAGCAAAACCGACCACAAGAAATTCCACAGCCATGAACACCCTACTCCTTCGGCGCGGGACGTGGGAGGAGCAGTGATTTATCTGGACGGAGGTCGGAGGTTGAGTCAACTTGGGGAGAATATATTGTAGAGCCCCTCCCAAAAGAATAATTGGCAAGCCAACGGACCCTTCGGGCACGGGGGGTCGAACCCTGGTCTGCGGCTTATAATCTTCGGTGACCCGAGCAAACCGTGCACCCACCCGATTCCTAGCCCTGGAAGCGAGTCTGTTGAGTGTGGCTCAATTCTGGGGTGTTCGGTTGTAATCAAACCAGTGTTGATGTACAGAGAATATTCTGCAGAGGAAAATGAAAATCGAACCTGCAAGTAGAAGTGACGGCAAGAACTCACGTGAAGGCAGAGGAAAAAGAGTCTCGATAACAGCGAAGGTCGGGTGCGGGGAGTCGAACCCCGCTCTGGAGCTTACATTCCTCCATACACAGCTTCTAAATACAGCCGCTGTGTGCCGTGCACCACACCCGATTCCTAGCTTTAAGGGGAGTCTGTTGAGTGGCGTTCAATTTCGTGAGTTGCCAACCTGAAAAGAATATTCTGCCGAGACGCCGGGCTTTGAGCTCAAGGATATTAGAGCGAATGGCGCCGGGTTCAGTTGAAACAGTACGACCTCTGCGAGAATACAATAAAAAGGGCGGCCCCGGTGAGACAGGTCGGATGCGGGGAGTCGAACTCCGAGCTGCGGTTCAGAGGGGGAGGTAAAGCCAAACGAAGCCGCTGTGCGCCGTGCACCACGCCCGATTCCTGGCCTTGAAATAAGGTGGGTGGAGTCGGGTGATTATCTGGGTTATAAACTGAATGTGAAAAGATCAAAAGCAAAAATTCACCAGCTGGAATTACTAGGTCGGGCGCGGGGAGTCAAACCCTGGCCTGCGGTTTCATTAAATAGAATCCCCTGCATCAGATGGAGCCGCCGTGCGCCGTGCACTACACTCGACGTCTATCCTCAATGCAGGCCGGGACATGTTTGCAATGATGTGTGGTTGAGCGCTGAACGACGGTAAAACGAAAATGACAATGCTGAGACAGATCTGCGTCGGATACGGGGCGTCGAACCCCGGTCTGCGGCTGACATTTACCACGCCAGTCGCAAAAATGGAGTCGTCGTGCACTGTGCACCGCACCCGATGTCTATCCTCAATGCAGGCCGGGACATGTGGGTTCAATTGTGTGTGGTCGGAGCGCTTACAGTAAAACGAAAAAGAAAGACGGAGAAAGCCCTACATCGGGTGCTGGGAGTCGAACCCCGTCCTGCGGCATTCAAATGTTTTCTTTAGTTGAGTGGGATCAATTTCGTCTTGAAAATAAAGAACCGCCAAAAATGTGGCTGAACCCCCCAGGTCGGGTGCTGGGAGTCGAACCCCGAGCTGCGGCTTAAATTTCTCCTCTCTACTAGTATAAATGAAGCCGCCGTGCGCCGGGCACTACACCCGACAATCATCTTTGATACGAGCCAGAGTAACTGGGTTCAATTTCCTGGGAAGTTCAACAGATCTTGCCCAGGCCAGTGAGATTCGAGGGATCAACCACGCCGCAATTTTTCAGGGCTCGCCTGCGGCGAACCAACAGATTTGGTCTGAATCAATTGGCCATAATATACAGGGAAAATAAAAACCAGCGCTATGCTGACGGTCGAGCGCAGGGAGTTGAACCCCGCTCTGCGGCCTAAGTATCGTTCAGTTCCCTCCTAAGTGAAACCGCTGTACACCGTGCATCACACCCGATAATTAACTTCAGCTCAAGCCAGAACAACTATGCTCGCTTTCCTGTCCTCGGAAGTTCAACAGATGTCCTGGGGAGATCATGGCTTTTGAGAGATCATTGCTGGGGGAAGGATGCACCTGTCGGATCCAAAGGGGTGGCAGGGTGAGCTTCAGAGGGAGAGTAAAAAGACGCTGAATGATAAATCATTCGGGCGCGGGGAGTCGAACCCCGACCTGCGGCTCTTTGAACACTGCCCTGGCACAAATGAAGCCTCCGTGCACCGTGCACCACACCCGGTTCCTAGCACTGGATCCCAGCGTGTTGAGTAAGCTCGAAAGGAACGGACCCTCCCGCCTGGGCCGAGAAACACCAGTGGCGGTCGAGAGGAAGCCCGTATTTGCACATATTACTTCCCCACCCCATCGCCTCCCGCCCGGCCCGCTCGGCATCTCCCTACCCGCGCGTGACGTCCTCTTTTTTTGTTATCTGCATTTCTATACCGCAACAAGTACACAAACTACTGGGACGCGGTGCTCCGGAGTGCGGGGCGAATAAATAAGGCAAGAAAATGTGTATGTGTTTGTATCCGAGTCGGGGATAGAGTAGGTCCATGTCCCCACACCCGTACGCCTCTTCCCGCCAGGCCTCTCACCGACCGCCCCTTCGCCATCCCCGTCGCCGCACTCGTCCTGCTCCTTCTTGTCATCCTCTTCGCCCTTGCCACGCGCCTGGTCCTTCAGCGTGGCTACCGGTCCTCGGGAAGGGGAGGCGCGCGAAGAGCTTGGGGCCCGTCCTCCCGCGCTTCTGCGTCGATGCGGACGCGGATGCGGAGCCGCTGCTCGCCCTCTCCATCTCTTCTACGTTCACCTCCACGTCCGCGGCATCTGGTTCTTACTCTCATGCCCGCCACCCCTCCGCGCCACTCATCGACCTCTCCCACCCGCACCCGCACCCGCACCCGCGCCCACCCAACGAAGGCGAAATTGCAATCGACATGGGAATGGAAATGGAGCTCGTAGACGTCTCTTTCCCGCCCTCCCCCGCCGCCTGGGCCCTCGCGCACCCGCCCCGGCCCACCTCCCCGGGCGTCGTGCTGTAGCCTGCCACTATTGACGATACGAACACAAACGCGATGAATGCTATGAACGTGATGATCCCCCTCGCCTCGCCCGCCCCCGCGACGCCGCAGCCACGAGCTCCACGACCACGAATCCCGTCCTCACTATCGACGCTATGACTATGAACTGCACGCTCTCCCCCCCCACCGCCGCCGCGCAAGCGCTCCTACCTCCCCTCTCCCTCACTCTCCCCGCCATCTACCGCGCGCTTGTCTCCATCTCCCCCTCCCCCCGCCGCGCGGCATGCGCCCCCTGCCCCTGCCGCGCGTTGCACACCCACACCGCCGCTCGCCCGTCCGTACTCCGCCCCGCCGCTTCCCCTTGCGCTTGCAGACCCGCTACACGCCGCCCGCGCAGACGGCGGGGATTCGCTACACGTAGCGCCCCCGCTGCCCGTGGCGCAGCACCACGTCGCGCCTGCCGTGCCGTTTCCGTTCCCGTTCGCTCTTGGTGTTTCCGCGCCGCTTGTCAAGGGCGCCGCACCTGCACCACGCGACGAGGAACGCGTACCCGCACCATCGGCGTTCTCACCGCTGGACGAAGCCGCACCGCCGCTCGTCGACGCGGCGCCGGCACTCGTCGATGTGGAGCTCGTCGATCTGGCTGCGGATGTCGATGGCGACGCCGACGCGCCGGGGTACCCCTTCCCCGCTTTCTTCCCTGTCCACGTGCGTGCGTCAGTCAGCACGAGCGAGACGACTCTGCGTCAGGTTGCTGTGGCTTTAGGGATCAATGCGGGAGGACCACATACCTGACATGTTCGGCGAGCGACGGGTTGCGGATGGTGATGACCTCAGTCTGCCGCACGAGCTCTCGCGCCAGCTCTTTCGCGATGCTGGACCTGGAGCTGAGCTCAAATACGGAAAATGAGCGCGAGGACTCCGAGGAGCCTTGGGCCTCCCATGCTGAAGCTATCAACACATCGCGTAGGCACCTACAAGTCTCCGACAGGGCACGGAGAGCTTCGGCGCGCGCTAAATGGGTCCCCGAGGAAGATCTGTCCATGTAGACTGTTCATGGGACAGGCACGACTTCCCGATGAGGCAGGTTAAACCATTAAGGTTGCAAATCATTAACCATTTTAACCGGTTACATCGGTTAGTTTAACCATCGATTTCTGGTGTTTTCTTATCATCCCGCTGCCCAGTGCCCCGGGATGACGGTTAAACCAATGGGTTAAACTTGGATTCAGCTAGGTGGTTTAACTTGAACTTGAGTTTAATAGTGTGCAAATATTTTTTGAATGAATTTCAATGTGCTACCATATACAACTTGTTAACCAGACTCAGAACTAATGCGGAACTTCATTTAAGTGTGGCGGACTGAAGTCAAGTATGCTGAGCAGCCCCGGAAAATGACAAGTCATTTCAAACTCCGCGGACACGATGTGATTGTTTGCGCAATCAAACAATGGGCGTGCCACTCTCTTCCTTTCCCCCCATCTACATCTCTCCCTTTCCCTTCATATAAACCCTAGGCCTCCCTCCTTCCCTTCAATATTCTTACCTAAACCTTCCCTTACCCCCCTTGCCACATTCACCGATCTCATTCAATTTCATTAGCTCACCAATGGTCGGTGGCATGCACCGGCAGGTACGTTGTAATTGGCCGACCCGTCTCTCCTCGTGATAATCCTCTTCGCTTCCCAATTGCGGCGCAGCGCAAGAAGCTCCGGCTCAAGATTGGAACCAAGGTGCGTTGTCGCCCACCGATAATACCTAACATGTATATCTGTTGCCTGGTACAAAGCCAAATCTGCCCACGGGATAATCCTAGGAAGGGTAGGTAGTGTTTCCCTCTCTTTTAGGGTTGTGCTGAGAGTCCGACAGGACTAAACCGGTGGCGGAATCACTGTGTTAACCAAGCGGTTTACCGGGTTAAACGGGTCCAGTTCAATCTGGTTAGGTTTGGTTGAATGGGTTAAATTACAGTTTAATGTATATTTAACTGGTTTTGAATTTTGGTTTAACGGGATTTGTGTATTAAAGGTCGGTTAAGCACCCAAATAGTGGGTACACCTGGAGAGCGCAAACTCTCGGTTGAACTAACAGATTTAACCGTTTCAAATGGTTAATGATCCGCAACCTGTGAGGTTTAACCTAGCGCATCTGTGTTACTACAGGCACGCCCGGCAACTGGGAGATTATCTCGTGGAGAGCCTCCACTGGGAGAGAGGGTAGTCCAGTTGTGTTGAAAGGACCGAGTGCCATGAGGCGCGCTCGTCCGCCTTTCCTGGTGCGTGGTGGCATAATTAAGCCACAGTCAGAGGGGAGTCGAGACAGGCAAGACGATCGGGCAGATGGGGAATGGTAAAGAAACACCCCAGAGATATGCCTGTGAGGATTCACGTTAATAGTCACCAGATGACTGGTGTGGTGGGAGGAAGCGGAGGATCAATTCGGGATACCAACAGTCTGTCGAGCGCCGGCATCTTCCAGCGTCTCTCTTTCCCTGCATGTATCTGTGAGCGCTGAATGTTGTACGCAGTGACCCCCACTGGATGGTACCACCCCTCACCCAGGAATATTTCTGCCGCCAATTTGGTTCAGCGCAAGTTCAGCGGCTAAAGTGCGGCGGAGCGTTGACAGCTCCGCACAGCCTTTTGTGCTGTGTCGAAGAACGTGTTCCCCACCCTTGCCCAGCGCGTCAACGACATCCACACCCTCAGTCCCAAATCCTCAGATGGCCTTCCTGAGGTCCGCCAATCGTGTGCTGCACGGTGAATTAAAATTGCCAATATTGGATAATTCTCTGATGGATATCCGCAGACGAGGACATCGAAAGGAATCCCGTGGTTCTTGATCTAGGACGCCGGCCTTCTCTCACTCAAAAATTAGTCGAGTCATCCTCAATCGTGCCTCCTCCATCCTTCGATTCAGACATGGAAGTAGATGAGGCTGTTGCACCTCGACGTGAGTTCGTTTGGCGAACGATAGATTGCGGACAGCAATCCTTAGCCAACGTGGCCAGTCGGATTTCCCACGATCTTGGCATATCATCTGTCAGGAAATTAACCTGGTCAGACGTGCGAAGTGCGCACCGCTGTGCCGGATACGTCCGCGAGGAAATAACACTTGCGACCACGATGGGCGACAGTGCTGTGGTATCTCATGATACACCGAGCCCGCTCGAGATTTGCGCTGTTTGCCACGAGGTCGTGGGTGTCAGTGAAGTGTTTCAGTGTGTATGTGGCGACCCCAGTACGTGCGTTAGTCAATCCATACTAAATCTTCAGCTCATTGGCTAGATCCCGGCTTGGGGCCGACGGTCAAGTGCCAGGCATGTAAGCTGTGGAGCCACAGCGACTGTGTCGGCAATCCCAAGGAGTTTACGTGCCAATTCTGCAGACCTGTCGCCGCAGCTCGACCTCACGATTCTAGTGTCAGTGATGCAGCTTCCGAGGACACGGTTCACGACGACGGTTCCTACGTCGCGCTCCCAGCTCCGTACAACAGCCCGTACGCGGGCGCCGCCGCCGCGCACCTCGCGGCGTACTCCTCGCCCTACGTCGCACCGCTTCAGGCGGCCCCGTACTCCTCGCCGTACCAGCCGCACATGCAGATGCAGCCGCCGAGCCGCCTGCAGACGCACTCCTCGTATTTCGCGGGCGGGGTGTCCGCCGGGTATAAGAGCCCGTATGCGGCTCCGCCACCGAGCGGGTATGAAAGCCCGTACTTGAGCCCTGCGGCCGGGTACGTCAGCCCTGCGGCGGGATACACGAACCTCGCGGGAGGGTACTCCAGCCCATATGCGACTCCGCCTGGCGGGTACTCCAGCCCGTACGTGAGTCCTGCGGCGGGATCACGAACCTCGCAGGAGGGTACTCCAGCCCATATGCGACTCCGCCTGGCGGGTACTCCAGCCCGTACGTGAGTCCTGCGGCGGGATACACGAACCTCGCGGGAGGGTACTTCAGCCCGTACGTGCCGCCACTGCAAGGCGCCGCCATGCGCGCGCCGGCATTCTGAGAGTCGAACCTGATCTGCAGCTTGTATTGCATACTCTCAACCGCCGCAAATGGGGCCACTGTGCACCGTGCACCACACCTGATTCATGGCTTTAAAACAGACTCTGTTGAGCTGGTTGATTTTGAAGTCGAAAGGATATTATCATACGAAGACTGGGAAGAGTATTTCGAGCGTGAATTTGATTATCGCTCTGGCTACCTGCGGTTGCTTGATTCAGTTGAGGCTGAAGCGGTCCTCGAGAAAGAAAAAATCATACGCCTCCTGAACATTCGGGCGCGGGGAGTCGAGCCCCGGTCGGCAGCTGAGATTTTAATCTCCCACCACATAACTGAAGCTGCCGTGCACCGTACACCACACCCGATTCCTAATCTTGAAGTCCGTTGAGCGACTGAGGTTTACAGCAAAACCGACCACAAGAAATTCCACATCGGCAAAAAAACCCTGCCTCCTCGATGCGGGATGTGGGGGGAGCAGTGGGTTATCTATACGATCATCGGAGGTTGGGTCTAGTGAGGGAGGATATATTGTATATTGTAGAGCCCCTCCCAAAAGAATAATTGGCAAGCCGACGGATCATTCGGGTGCGGGGAGTCGAGCCCCGGTCTGCGACTTACAGTATGGTACACCAGACACACACAAAGCCGCCGTGCGCCGTGTACCCCACCCGATTCGTAGCTCTGGAATTGAGTTTATTGAGTGGGCTTGCTTTATTTGGTGGTTGAACTTGAACAGAATTAAATAGTCTTCTGAGATATCGATGTCAAGGTCAAATATATGGGAGGGGGCTTCACCTGTTGCCGCCAAGAGGCATATTTTGGGTTGAGAAATCCTAGTATTGAAAATTGGAGGAGGAAAACTGGGCGAAGTGGGAAGTCTGGGCTGCGGCAACTTATATGCATCGATCATAGTAAATGGGTGCACCACACCCGATTCATCTCTATGCAAACAATCAGTGAAGAATGAACCTCGGTGCGTTGAACTGTGCCTGCTCCTCGCCCAAAAAAGCAGGAGTGGTCCCTGGACAGTTTGGGTGCGGGGAGTCGAACCAGGTCTGCTGCTTATATTTATGATTCCCAACCTAGCTGAAGCGGCCGTGCGCCGCGCACTAAACCCGACAATCATCTTCGATACAAGCCAGAATAACTGGGTTCGGAAGTTCAACAGATCTTGGCAAGACCAATGAGATTCAAGGGATCAACCAACGGGACGTTTAAGGACACACCTGCGGCGAACCAACACATTTGGTCTGAATCTGAATGAATTGGAGGGGGAAACCAAAAATGTTGGCAATTGTGCATACACAATTTCTAATGCAGCTGCTGTGTGCCGTGCACCCGATGATTATGTCTGAAATAAAAGTAGTGGAATGGGGTGAATTTCTGTGGGTGGTTTGGACGTGAATGTAAAAAGATCAAGAACTGGAAAAATCATGGACGAATTACACAGGTCGGGTGCGGGGAGTCGAACCCCGTCCTGCGGCTGAAACCTTTCGTTCTCGTCGAATGAAAGCCGCCGTACGCCGTGCACCACACCCGATTCCTAGCACTGCAACCCAGCATGTTGAGTGAGCTCGAAAGGAACGGACCCTCCCCCTGTGCCGAGAAACACCAGTGGCGGTCGAGACGAAGCCCGTATTTGCATATATTACGCCCGCACGCCATCGCCCCCGGCCCGTTCGGCATCCACCTCGTCCTCGCGTCGTGCCTCACCCAGCTCTCCTCCTCCCCCACCAACATCCAAATTCATGTCCCACAAACCCGTACGCCTCTTCCCTCCCTTTCTTCCCTTCTTTTCACTTCAATTCACCCGCTAACCCGCCCCATTCAGATCCCTCTCTAACCGCATGGCCGCCCTGCCGCTGCTCCCCTTCCTTCCGCCAGACCTCTTCGCGGCCGTGGACGCGGGAACACACATTCCTCCTCAATTCCTCGAGTGGGGCTGGGGAAGGGGAGGCACGCGAAGAGCTTGAGGCCCGTCCTCCCGCGTTTTCACGCCGACGATGCGCAGCCGCTGCTCGACCTCTCCCGCTCTTCCACCTCCACCTCCTCCGCATTTTGTTCTCATGCCCGCCACCCCTTTGCGCCGCTCGTCGACGTCTCCCACCCGCCCCACGAAGGCGAAATCGCAATCGACATGGGGACTGGCACTCAATGGATATGGAGATGGAGCTGGTGAACCTCTCCGTCCCGCCCTCCCCCGCTGCCTGGGCCCGCCGGCTTCTCCGAGTGTGGTTCTTCAACCCACGCCCGCGCCCGCGCTCACTATTGACGCTATGGATTCTACGGACGCAATGAATGCGATGCATTCCCCCACGAACACGCACACGCACATGAATATGAAATACAATCCCCCTCGCCTCGCCCTTGCCCACCATCGACGCTATGAATCCCCCGGCGCGCGCGCTCTCCCCGTCACACTCGTGCCCGCGCACGCGCTCCCACCTCCCTCCCCTCCGCTCTCCTCGCCCCCGCCCTCTCGCTATCGCTCTCCCCCGGCCGCGTGGCATACGCCCCCGCTCGCCCGCCCGTATTCCGCACCGCAGCTTCCGCTCGCGCCTATAGCACCATCGCACGTGTAGGCGCGCACCGACGCAGCCGCAGACGCGCGGGATCCGCTACACGCAGCCGCAGATGCGGCGGATCCGCTACACGTAGCGGCCCCGCTGCACTTGGCGCAGCACCGTGTCGCGCCTGCCGCGCCCTTCCCGTTCGCGTTCGCTCTTGGTGTGTCCGCGCCGCCGCGTGTGGACGGCGCAGCTCGCAGTCGGGAGCGGGACGCGCCGCTCCCGCCGCCGGCACTCATCGATGTGGAGCTCGTCGATCTGGCTGCGGATGCCCATCTTGGTGCGGATGTCGATGGCGACGCCGACGCGCCGGGGTACCCCTTCCCCGCCTCTTCCCCGTCCCCGCGCCTGTCCCCGCGCGTTTGACGCCTTCGACGCTGGCGCTTACCCAGTGCTTGCGGACGAACTGGGCGAGCCGGAGGCGCAGGCGGAAGTAGGAGAGGAAGGGCGGAAGTAAGAGTGGAGGAGGAGGGAGAGGGAGAAGACGTAGAGGAGGAGGCCCTCTCCTCAGTGTGCGCGATCGATGCTGTGATGGGGCGGATGCATATGCACGTCGCGCCGTCTTTCCCCTTCCTGTTCCTCGGCGCGCCGAGCTGGAGACGGACGAGAATGTGGGGGCGCGGGTGGACGCGGGGGAAGGGGAGGACGTAGGAAGGGGAGGAAGGAGGAGAGGAGGAAGAGACCGCGGCGCAAGAGCTCCCCTCGGCGCGCGCGATCGATGCTGTTGTGGGGGGGATACACGCGGGTGCGCCGTCTTGGGATTACGAGCTGCAGACTGAGGAGGAGGAAGAGGTGCCGGGGTACCCCGTCCCCGCCGCCGTGCTTGCGCTCGACGTACGCGCACGGAGAGCACGAGAACGAGCGTGGTGGGGGGAGGACGAGCAGCAGACTGAGGAGGGTGCGGAGGAAGAGGAGGGGGAGGACGCGGACGCCCTGCCCTTGGCGCGCGCGATCGACGTGGTGGTGGGGCGGATGCACGGCGGTGCCGGGGCGCCGCCGTATGCGTATGCGGACGAGGATTTCGCCCCGCCGTTCGAGGATCGGGTTTCGTCGTACGCGTGCGGCGACGGCAAGCAGGCGCAGGCGAAGGAAGAGCACGAGGCGGAGGAGGAGGGTGTGGACGAAAATCAGGACTCGTCTCCTTATGATTACGACGCCGCGCCGTGGGGTGGTGCTGACGCGGGATTGGTATCAGCGTACGACGTGGGCGCGCAGCCGGACACGCAAGAGCAGGACGCGCCTTCGGTGCTCTTCGCCGCGCTCGAGTCTGCCTCGGCGCGGCGGCTCATTCCGCGCGAGGGTGGGGAGGCGGACGGTGAGGAGGAGGGAGACGGGGATGAGAACAGCTACAGCGACTACGCGGGCCTCCTCGACGAGGAGCGCCTGCTCGGCCTCGCGTCCGCGTCCCCGCCTTCGGTGCTCTTCACCGCGCCCGAGTTCGCGCCCCAGGCCGCGTCGGCACGGCGTCTTCCCTTCTTTCTCGGACGCGGGCGCAGGCGCGACTCTACCCATCCCCTCGACGGGCAAGGAAGAGAAAGTACGCGTTCGACGCTCGTGCTGCAGGTGCGTCATTCATTCTTCCTGCACGCTCACTAACACTCGTTCTTTCTTTCCTTCCGCGCCGTACGACGGCACACGGGAAGGCGCGCAGCGTACATATCTTCGTTTGCATATCTACATGATGTGTGTAGGTAGGGAACTCGAAATGAATATAATGAGATATTGAGCCGTTTCTTCCCTCGATGCGGTGCGCTGCGACGAGATGGGCGGGACGGTGCGGATACACGCGTTCGAAGTGCGCGTGCGCTACAGCCGGGGCGAATCCGAGAGGACATGCGAGTGCGGTACTAATCGTTGGGTGCCTGCGGGGATGGCGCGCAGCGTCGAAATGGGAGGGACGGGGCGTCGAAACGAGAAGAGACCTGCGAGAAAATGGTATGATCAGAGGGAAAGAACTCGGATCGCGGGCGTTGCATACCTGCCAGACTGCGCACGATGTACGTGAGTAATTCGAGCAAGCGGAACTCTACGAGCCAGCGAGTCGAGTGACTCGAGTCGGGATTAATCGAGTTCAGTTGAGTTGAGGTAATTGTGAAAGCTGGAACGAGAAGATCAACGAGGTTTCATTCTCGAAGGTACGGTGGCAGATTGCTTGAACATTGACAGGTTCAGTCGGATCCGCGGAGAGATGCGGATGCATGCTTCCCTGTACCAGATAAAGCAAAATTCAACCCTTGAGAGTACACTCTGGGACGAGCGTTAGATATGTGATCAGCAATTCAATCTTGTCGGCCGAGAGTGAGGAAGAGCTACTGTAACTTGAGAGCGAAATTTTGTGTTCTATGCATGGAAACGTCCCCCAACCCAATCGTCCTGAAACAAGGACAGCAAACCACAGGTGCACATTTGCCAATGTGATGGGAATGACGAACCCGATCCTGAGGACGATTTCCTGGTAGCACGGTAAATGAAATCACATTCATGCCGACGAACCGGGGCGAATCAGATGAGTTCGAAAGTAGAGCCCGGCCAAGGCACAATTCAATTTAGCAACCACAGTACAGTATTATGAAGATCTCTAAGTAGATCGCGTGAGCAGATCTGGGACAAAATAACCATGACGACGAACCAAAAATCTCTAGGTTCCAGCGTATTTAAATGGGATACGTACGGACAACGCCTCTGGCGAAGTGTACGGATACATGTCTGTATACGTTTACGTTTGAGGAACAGGCACGAAGCACCGTTTGCGCGGCGCGAACGAGCTCTTCGGTTCGTTGAGAGAGGGTGGGCGTTTGCTCGAGGTCTGTGACGAGCTCAGTTTTGGTCAGATTTTTCATGGGTGACAGTAGCTTTAGAATGCTCTGTATATTTATTCCGATAAGCTGATAGTCGCGCAAAAATCAGGGGGCAAGAGATGGACTTACGGGGGTCAGGGTGGAAACCCGAATCGGAGGATTTCGTAGAGAAATGGCATGAGCTCTGCGAGCTCTGTGGATAAATGTATGAGCGATAAAAGAGGAGTTCAGGTGTGACAAGTGACCTTTGACAATCCCTGGACCGACTGGCCTACAGGTGAATGCGCGAAGCTGAGGGGCATCCTCCTGCAGTGAGCGTCTCTGGACGGGCGAGAGGGCTGAGAATAAGCCAATCAGAGTGAAGCGTTCGACATTCGGGCAGCACTTGAAGAGGTCAAATGTGTCGAGGTGAAGGGCCAGGGTCCGCACGGTGGAAAAGCCGCGACCAGCAAGCACGGCGTCCATAGGATTTGGAATGGCTGGCCGGTAGTTACTCGGGATAGTCTTATGGAATATGCGAGGGACGAGCAGAATTTAAATCGTGTTGAGGTTGGGGAGGAGGGAAAGACAGCTGAAGAATTCGGGGTAGACAGTTTCCGCGCACCACTCAGTCAGCACGACCGAGACGACTCTGCGTCAGGTTAGTGTGACTTTAGGGTTCAACGCGGGAGGAGTACATACCTGACATGTTCGGCGAGCGACGGGTTGCGGATGGTGATGACCTCAGTCTGCCGCACGAGCTCTCGCGCCAGCTCTCTCGCGATGCTGGACCTGGAAAGCTCGAATAAGGAGAATAAGGAGAATGAGTCCCAGGATGCGTCGCGGGAGGCACAAGCCTCGATATGTCCCATGCTGAAGCTATAAAGACATCACGTAGGCGCTTACAGGGCTTCGACAGAGCACGGAGAGCTTTGGATCGCGCTAAATGGGTCCCCAACAAAACTCCGCTCATGTATACTGTACATGGAACAGGCACGCCCGGTAAGTGGGAGACTATCTCCTGGAGGATTTCCACTGGTAGAGAGGGTAGTCCAGTCGTGTTGACAGGGCCGAGAGCCATGAGGCGCGCTCGTCCGCCGTTCCTGGTACGAGGTGGCACAGTTAAGCCACAATCAGAGGGGAGTCGAGACTGGCCAGACAGTTGGGTGAACGTTGAATGGTACACAGACACCGCA